TTTCCATTTTTCGAGACCCCTCCACACTGTTTTCCAGAGGGACTGGGCCGGTCTGTATCCTGCTGATCATGGTGGAGGGTTCCTTTCCCTCACATCTACTACTTTGACACTTGTTTCTGGTGTTTTGAGATGCTCCGTTCTCACCAGTGCATTGTGGCTTTGATTTGCATTTCCCTGAAGATAAGTGAGGATGAACATTTTTTCACGGGCCTATTTATTTGGACATCTTTATGTCTTTGGAGAAGTATCTACTTCTGCTTATTCTTTTGATGGTTTTTTTTTTAATTGTATGAGTATTTCATCTTGAATTTTAGTTTCTTGTCAATGTATGATGTGCAGATCTTTTCTTCTGTTCAGTAGGATGTCTTTCTGTGTTAACAATAGTTTCTTTCACGGTTAGAAGCTTTTTATGCAATCTCACTTGTTTATTTTTGCTTTTGTTTCCTTTGCCGTTGGAGTTGAGTGCCACAGCCACTGTTGTGGAGTGTTTGCCTGTGATTTCTTTTACGTACTTTATGGTTTCAGGTCTTGCCTCTAAGACTTTAATCTGTTTTGAGTTAACTGGTGATGGGTGTTAACTAGATGGTTTTTGGTGGTCATTTAGCAGTATGTGCAAATATTGGATCATTATATCATATACCTGAAACTAATATGTTCTTATATCTTATAATTAATTATAACTATATACAAATATGCAGTAATCCTGTAATTATAATACTGTCTACAATTATATTCATTTATTTATTTAAAATTTATGTATTTATGCATGCAGAACTGGGATACAGGCCAGAAATGCAGGGACAGTGAGAGGATTAGCCAGAGACAGAGTGAAGAGCAGAACAGGCAGATTGATGAAGTACACTGCTGAGGGGAGCAGTGGGCAAGACAGGAGAGGTCTGCCGTGCCATGTGGGTCACCTCCGGGACTGGGGATTGAACTGACACTGAAGTGACTGAGGTTAGCTTACAGTGCTGCACTTTAACCTGTTGCACCACCCAGGAGGGCCCTACAATTATATTGATAACAATTATAGAAAACTATTCTAGATAGCATTATATATTATGTATCATACATTATGCTGTGTTATGTATGGTTCCATATTTGATAATTTTGTGTTATACAATTATAATCATAACATATATCAATATATCAACGTTGTACAATAATTATATACTATATTATGACTTTATATTGGATTGCAATTATATACTATATTATAGCTCACTAAAAACAAAAACCACACAAGATTTTGAATGATTCCATTGTTTAATAAAGACATGCATTTAGCTAGAAAGATAACTTGAATGTCTTAATCATATTAATTATAGATGCTTTGTGGAAATAAAGTCTGAAGAGGTCATTATTCATTTGTTGTGTGGTAGGACTGAGTCTAAAGATTTGTGGATTAAAAAACTTTTAGAATTAGGGCCCTCCCTGGTGGCACAGCGGGTTAAAGCACTGCACTGAGAAGCTAAAGCCACTTCCGCATGAGTTCGATTCCCGCCTGCCCCGGAGGTGACCATATGGTGTGGCAGACCTCTCCTGACCCGCCCGCTGCTCCCCTCAGCAGTGTGCTTCATCGATCTGCCTGGTTCTGCTCCCCACTCTGTCTCTGGTGAAGCCTCTCACCGCCCCTGAGCCTCTAGCCTGTACCCCGGTTCTGTATGTACAAATAAATAAATCTTTAAAAAAAAAAAGAATCACATTAAAAAAAAAAAAAACTTTTAGAATTAATCCTCACCACCACCTGTATAGGGCCTGACCTCACCTGCAAGTGTGATTTCCTTGCTGAGCTCAGCCCTGATCCTGCGCCAGAGCGGCTAGCTTCGCCTTCTGCGTGTCAGTGAGGTCTGACTGAGGTCCCAGGGCTCTGCCGAAAACACCCATGTCACATTACTTCGGCGTATCCTTGAGGTAACCATGCAACCAGACCCACTCTGCTGCTCCCTCCTGATAGCCAGGCAGGTAATTGCATTTGCAGTCTGAGGACATCTGCTTTCAGCAGATCACCCCAGTGTCCCTGAGTCCTGAGCACTTCATAGAGTGCGAGGGTAGCGGCTGTCCCCAAGGCCTCCTCACGGGCCCCTGGGCCTGCATTGCCCGGGAGAAAGGGCACACGGCTCACTGGGCTGAAACATGGCGAGCACAGAAACCTGACCCGCTCCTGCGTCCCACTGTATCTATAATGACAAATGAGTTTTCTGATTTTTTGTGACAAAGTGCTGGTGCTCTGGACTCGTTAAGGGGACTGTTTTGCTTCTTGTCTCCAAGGCAGCGAGACAACAGTCTGATACAGGGGTGGAAAAATTCCTCGTAGCTGAAATTGTGTTTCTTGGTCTCCTGGTGTAAACTGCCATGATTAATTAATTTACTCCTAACTGACAGGAATGCCATGTGTCTGATATATTTTTTGCTTATTTTGAACGTTTTTGGGTAAATATGCGTTTAACAATAGCCCTCTATTAGCTATGGGAACTCCCGTTTTTGTTAGGAGTTTTCTCTCAGTATGGGATAACAGTTGTGGAGGCTTAGGGTTCATTTTTCTCCCCAAACTATTGCATATATGACATTAATTTTTGAACCACGTGTTAGATTGTGGGTTTGTTATCATCAGTGCTGAAACTTTTACTCTAAGTGAACAGCTATTGTGCTCTGGAAAGAAATTGTAAAGTATTAAAATAATGTATTGGTAGTGAAGTCTCCTTCACTCTTTAAGGGTCATAATTTAATTAGCAGCAGTACCCCTACTGTGAGAACTGTCTGCAAAGAGAACGAGGAAATGAAGCTGTTCCCCGGACCTTGAGAAGAAAAGCAATTCAACAAGATCGGCACATTAGTTGTTTGCTTATTTCCTCTTTGCCTACTTAGCCACTCCATGACTTTTCTTACTAGTTGACACCTGAAACCTCCTGGATTAAAAAAAAAAAATCACCGTAAGAAAAAAAAAAAAGATACTTTCTTTTCTATAAAAAGTAACTTTTCAAGTAACACTTGTCAGATCTCTAAGCCATTGGTGGAAAGGAATTCCTTTCCACCTTTGAAGTCCAGTTCAAACATTTTAACTAGGGGCCTGAAAGGTTACTGGCCAGTTTCAAGGGGGAGAACTGTTATTTAAAGATATAAATATGTATACACACACACACACATTAGTTATTGTAGCGCCTAACATTATTTTTAATAAAAAACAAGATTTTTTTCCCAGTTAACTAGATAGCACTAGTCTAGCAGTGGTGGTTAACTGCCTAGTGCTATTTTATGTGCATTCATGTAATTTGGAATTTCATTTCCACAAGTGGGCTACTTTTTTATTAAATTTTCTTTTTTTTTCTTTTTTAAGATTTATTTATTTACTCATACAGAACTGGGGTACAGGCCAGAGATGCGGAAGGTGAGAGGATTCACCAGGGACAGAGTGGGGAGCAGAATAGGTAGATCGACGAAGTACACTGCTGAGGGGAGCAGCGGGCGGGTCAGGAGAGGTCTGCCGTGCTATGTGGATCTCATCCAGGGCAGGCGGGATTGAACTTTTGCGGAAGTGGCTTAAGCTTGGCTTAAGCTTCTTAGTGCTGTGCTTTAACCCATGCACCACCAGGGAGGGCCAACTTTCAAAAAATTTTAATATAATAGTCTATTTTTAAATCATTTTGTGCCTTTTTCCATCTCAGTTGTAATCCCTGGGGGTTTCCCATCACCAAATCACCCATGGGCCATCCCCATAATCCCATGCATCCCCCCCATTTTTGATCCCATTCCCCTACCTCCTTAAATGTGTCTGGTATATAGCTGTTCATCATCATTATTATTTTTCCTCTTGGTCCTCTATGCTTCTGCTATGAGTGAAACCATCTGGTATTTTTCTTTTTCCTTCTGGCTTATCTCACTAAGCATGAGCCCTTCCAGCTCCATCCATGTTGCTGCAAAAGGCATGAATTTATCTTTTTGACTGCTGAGTAATATTCCATTGTGTATATGTACCACACCTTTTTAATCCAGGCAACTACTTTTGGGCATTTGGATTGATTCCATGCCTTTCCTATTTTAAATAAAGCAGCAATAAACATGGGGGTGGGCAGGTGTCCTTTTGAGTCAGTGTTTTTGTGTCTTTTAAGTAGATATCTAGGAGTGGGATTGCTGTTCATATAGATGCTCCATATTTAGCAGTTTGAGAAACCTCCAAACAGTTTTCCATAGCAGTTATATTGGTTTGCATTCAAGTGGGTTATTTTCTTAATGACAATTAAAGATGTCCCCTTTATGTCTTTTTGGACCATTTTAGGTTATGATAAATAGAATCATGTGCATAGGCCATAGGTTTTCTATGCTCTTCATTATTTGAATGAACCTAATTTTATTTTCAGTATGGCATTTCATTTCCTCTGCCTGAAATCCCTCCACCCACAAAATGACTAGGGGTTTCCATCTCTTTTCTTCCGGAGCCATCAATACTAGTGTGTATCAGACAAGAGGATCTACAACCAGTGACTATTGAAGGAAAAGGTTGATTCTCTGCTATGCAGTGATTTTTACAAAAGAGAATACTACTCTGTTATTTTAAATATTATTGAGGTATCTTTATTCAAATATTTTTTAGTGCCTACTTTTACTACCATTTATTCAAAGCCAGTTTCCATATGTACCAAAGTCAGGAACAGATAATCTATGTGTGGGTTGAGTCTACTCACATGTTAGTCCCCTTTGTAGTCATTAACTCAAAGGTCCACAGGAAAACAGCTTCCATGATTTTTACTTCTTTATTTTAGCCCAGATTTCACACCCCTTCTCTTATCTAGATGCCTAAACTCACCTGACATAGCCTTTGCTGTCATAAGTTTATGAAGACAAGATTTAGAGTTAAAATATGAAGGTAAGATTTAGAGTTAAAACTGGAGTGAGATTCAACATTAATCCTTGAGTCACTGTTTAATAAGGGAAATGAAGTTAGTGCAGGTGTCCTTCATTGGCGGCTAATGTCATTCTCTTACTTTCTGCAATCATTTTAGGACTTGCTCCATGCTGCAGAGGCAAGAGATGCTCTTGAAAGGGAAGTTAAAATCTTCCGAGACAGGCTGCTTGCTGGCCAGCGGGCCTGGGAGGCCTCTAAGCAGGAGCTGAACCTCTTGAAGAAGGGCTCCTGTGATCTAGAGAAGAGTTTGAAGGACAGTCGGGAGGCAACCACGGTCTCGCAAAGCCAATATTCCTCATTTAGGGAGAAAATTGCAGCCCTCCTTATGGGCGGCTCGTGTGGAGTCGCATCCACGGAGGACGCCATTTTGGAGAGGATCCGAGAAATGGGCGTCCAGGAGGAGAGCAGGAGAAAGGTGAGTGGCTGGCTGGTGGCTGCTTAGGAACTTTTTAGGAGCAGTAAACTCATTCATTTAGCATACTCCACAAATGACTTGTGTGAACTATTTAAAAGTGCCATTAAAATGTGTTCTTATTACTTTTAGTGATATAGTTAAGATATGTGGGAGTCACTCTGCGGACAGTGGTGTGGACTCTGGAGTCACACTTGTCCGGGCCAACCTGTCTCCACTGTATGCGCACTCACTCAGCCCAGGCGCACTGTGGGTGGGTTCCTCAGGCGAGTCCTCTGAGACTTGGCTTCCTGACTGGCCGTGAAGGGGTGGCCAGAGGCCAATCCTGTGTGTGCAAAGTAGGGAGTCAATGTGGTTTTGAATTCAGAATGTTTCAGGGCGTAGAAAGGTAAATAGCACACAGAAAAGTCACACAGAAAGCAGTCTTATATAGAATTCCGCAGTGGGGCAAACCCCTTCATCAGCCACATTCATCGTTCTTCAGCAGCACCCTGAGTAGCTCCGTCTATCAGGGTTCCTGAGATAAGTGGCCTCCGGTCACGTCTGGTCAAGGTTGGCCACTAAAACCCATTGGGTCAGGCTTTCCGTGCAAGTGAGTTACCGGAAAAACAGTCAGTCCGATTTTTGTGGATTTTGGAATTGTAGCTAAGGGTTCCGCACCTGTCATGGGTCTACCTTGGAGGGTGATTGCTTGCTTAAGCATTACATGAAAAAAGTTATGAAGTTCTTAACACACGGTCTGGCAAATTACAATAAATATTAACATTGCTGTTCTCGCTTCTTCTCTCTCCGCTCCTTCTCTTAATGTGTGGTGCGTAGATCAGTCTTTGAGGCACCTATTTAACAAGCAAAGAAAACTGGTTTAACGCACAAATACGGTTAAGTCTGTTTCATTTCATTGTCTTGTTTATACGATCAGCAATTCTCAATTTATATAAAGTTCTGTTTAGCAGAGCCCAGATCCTATATAAATGATCATCAAATCCCAATTAGTAGTTGTAATTAAGGTTTCAAAGTAAATGATATTCAAATTCTATGTATATTTCCATTAAGAATTATTTTTTTCTGCTCAGTTTTACTTATTCCAAAGAAGAAGTACACCTTTCTGTCTTAATGTGCCTCAAAATTTCAGATTGATGGCTAATTTCAAGTTCAGGGTTGCATTCATACATTTCCTGTAACAATCAAAACGTCTAATTTCGTGTGAAAATTCTCCACGGTTTGCATTTGCTTTAGAAGCAGCCCAAATTGCTGATCTCTGAGTGGTTTTTCATGTGATTCACTGGATCAGGGATGGAAGTTAGTGACTTACTTACCTCAAGCAGCCAATATTTCTTTGCCATTTCACTTCCTTGAATTATTGCTTTTCCCTTCTATTTTTCTAAATGTTTTCCAAAAGCTATTTTAATTTGAGCATATGAAGCACAGCATAAAATTGTTAGCACGATGTATATGTTTATTTTCTAAAGCAAAATGATATGAATTGGTTGAAATGGATAGTCTGTCCCCACTCCCCATAAAGAATTAGGATGATTCAGAATCTTTTTAGTGCCTTTGTCTGCCTTTCCTACCCTGTAATTTTTTTCAATAGATCCTCTCACTGTCTAAAAGCCTGAAATCAAGCCTATAGCTGGCATCTTGTGTGACTCATCTTCAAGTAAAATCAAGAGAAAATGAATTTCATATATTGTCTTAGAAATGTTTCTGAACAATGTGAGCTTTACAAATTGATGAATCTGTTTGTTGAAGAGGCTGCATCCCCCTGCCAGGGGCCATGGTTAAATACACAGTCAACCGTTGAATAATACCCCCCTGAAGATCCAGTTCTAGGTCAGACTTGGTCTGGCAAATTCTCCACTTCATGTCAACTCCTTCTTACTGAACATTCCTTTTCTTGTTTACCCCTTTGCTATTCATTTTTATGCTCCTATATTTGCAGTTCTCAGTAGGTTTCAGGACACCACCCACACTTTTTCAATAAGTCAATTCTGCTTGTTCCTTGCTTTCCTGCTTAGAGCAAAATCTAATTTTCTTTTTAAAAGCTCTACTATATCTTAAAGAAGGCTTCTCAGCCTTGGCACTACTGATGTTTTTGACTGGAGAACACCTTGTGGGGGCTGTTCTGTGCGTTCTGTTTGTCGACATTCCTGGCTTCTCCACACTAGCTCCTAGTAACACCTTGTCTCTACCTCCTCATTTGCAACCACCAAAGATGTCTCCTGACATTGTAAAATGTCCTCTCAGGGGGCACCATCACCCCAGTTGAAACCACTGTATTAAAGGAATATCCTAGTTCAGGAATTCTAAAAGAATATTTACATGTTATTTAGCCTTGAACCTTTAGGACCCTCATAAAGGCTTTTTTTTAAGTAACATGTCTTGCACAATGACATAACACTGTGACATCTCCAGATTTTAATTTTTAATTTTGAGGCAAATCCTTCTTCCCTCTTACTTTTAGATGTTCCCTAACTGGCTACATACATGGTTGAGAGCTATGTACAGAGACCATGGACAGCTCTACATCCTGTCCTAAGTTAAATACCAATACAGATCAAATCACGCTGTAGACATCTATCCAAGCAGCTCCTTTGCTCTGCTCTGGGCACACCAAAGGCTCTGTTTCTTCCATGAGGGTGTTTTTTAGTCTGGGAGCTCTGCGTATCCACCTGATGCCCTAAAGGAGTTCCCATGAGTTCTTCACTCTTGCTGAATCCACCTCTGATTTCATTGTTCTACTCTGGTCTTAATCCTTTAATCTACCAAAGATAATGTTTACCCAGAAGCCTTAGCAGGTGCCTGATGACTTTTCATTGTCCCAAGTTATGCTACACGGTCTCCCTTGGATGCAAGGGGAATTCTGGGAGAGCCACGCGAGAATTGAGCACAGCCATTGCTGTGCATGCTTGCCTAGGCTGTCTATAAGAACACACTTGCCTAGGCTGTCTATAAGCACACACCACTGACTGGGAGGCTTAAGCAACAGAAATTTATGGTCTTGTATTTCTGGAGGCTAGAAGTCCAAAATCAAGGTGTCAGCAGAGTTGGCTTCTTCTGAGGGCTGTGAGGAGAATCGATTTCATACCTCTCATCTGGTAGTCTCTTACCACTTACCTGGTTTCTGATGGTCTCCTTAGTTTATGGAGGGCATTTCTCTCTTCGTCTTCACATTCCCTTCTTCTTAAGCTGCCTCTGAGTTCAAATTTCTCCTTTTTACGATAAAGTGGCCGCATTGGTTTACTGCAATGGCCTTATTTTTACTTGGCTATCTCTGCAAATACTGTTCTTTCAAATAAGGTCACATTCAGAGGTACTGGGGAATTTAAACATATCTGTTTTGGGGAGTAGCCAATTCAACCCCTGACAAAAGTCAACTGTACAAGGTGGAGGGCATAGTGTCAGCCAATCTGGTGTTGGCACACACACTGCCAAAAGAGGAGAATTTGATGTTCTATTCCTGGCACCTGATAACGCATCTTCTATATATCCTAAGTGAAAACTGCAACTTGAACAATTAGAAAAGAGTTCCAGAAGGTACTGGAACTTAGGTGACCAAGGGCCTCTTTCTTCATTTTAGAATTCTTGTGCTTCCATTTGGTTTAATCTAAGGACAAAGTGCTCTCTGGTGAAATCAAAAACTACTTGTCCTTGGGAAGTGAATTAATTCTTGTAGGGCATCATGACTTTATTTCCAAGCAGCTTGTTTTTGAAGTATAGTTTACTTTAGTGCCCTGGTTGTTTAAAAATTGAGGTATGTATTCTTTATTAAAGTTTCCCCCTCTCCTTCCATCCCTGTTTATCTAGTGTTGAGATCTCTGCACACTTTGTCCCGAAGCGTATCAGGGCTCTCTTAACACATGATACTAAGAACTAGAAGACAAAGAAAATGAGATGCTTATTGATTCTCTAGACTTCTTGGTGTGAAAAACAGAACACAAACGCACAATTTTGGCAGAATGCATATGCTCACTCAAGCACTGGGAATTGCCGTTTCCAAGAGCTTGGTCATGTTGGAGTGTTAGTTTATTAGGATAAACTTAGGTCATTTTAGCGCTGAAGAGGTACTGTGTCATCATATGCACTGAGATCTAAATTAGCTCAGGAAGCTAAGTTCTGTGATGCCGAGATAGTGGAGAATGTCTTGGCTGTTTGGTTCTTTCTGGAGACCAGAGTCTAGATAAGGCATTTGGTGGAGCCCACAGAACCCAGCCCTCTACCTACTGATTACTGTAAAAGTCACACTTAATTGAATTTCCAAATCTACAGCACATCCTTAGAGACCCAAAGATGAGGATGCAGGAGGTGTTTTCTCACCTTGGAATCAACACATGTATCCTTTATTTGTCCAGTTCAGAAAGATTTCAAGTTGAAAAACAGGCTCTACAGGCTGAAACTTATTGGAGAAATGTGATTCAGGACAACTCCTTGAAGGGCTTTCTTTCTTTTTTTCCCCAAACAGTTATTTATTTTATGCATACAGAACTGAGGTACAGGCCAGAGGTGCAGGGGTGGTGAGAGGCTTCACCAGAGACAGAGTGGGAAACAGAACAAGCAGAGTGACGAAGTACACCGTTGAGAAGAGCAGCAGGCGAACCAGGAGAGGTCTGCCGCATTGCCTGCTGTGGCTCAGCTCTCTGGCCTGGGATTGAACTCGAACTGAAGGGCTGAACTACCTTTATAGTGCTATGCTTTGCACCACCAGGGAGGGCCTTGACGGGCTTTCTTAACTCTTTATGACAAAAGTATAGGATTGGCTGCACTCATCTCCTGGCGTCCTAATACCGGTGATAAAAATGCATGCAGTGGGTTGAGCTGTGAGTGGGTGTGCTAGTGGGCAGAACGGAGGGCACTGCAGGATCTCAGACCTGCCTACTCTAAGTGGGTTCTGCCATCTGCTGCATAAAGACAAACACACTCAACTATATAAGATCTTCAAAAGAAAAAATACTTAGATGTAATTCGTGAGCAATAGAGAGAATAGAAAGAGTGTAGTTAAAACAATTTCCCATGAAACACCCAGGGTTACCTCTCCTTTGTGGATAAATGCCCAGCTGAACATGGTTGGCCCGCCCTGGACAGGGCCACAGATGCAAACACTTGCCACAAGTCTAAGGTACCTTCTGGTGGGGACCCATAGGAAAAGGGCAGAAGGGAGCAGAGACGTTTGGAAGCAAAGGAACAAACTCAAAATACAAGTCAAGGTGAAGGCTGCCATTGCCAGCCTCCCTACAGGCCTCTCACCCATGTTTCTGTCTCTTTCAAGTGTCTTCTTCCATGTCTCCCAAGTGTCTGGCTGAGGAACAAGCGCTACTTCTTCACATGCCTCTGCTCCATGCACCTTCTCCAGCCTTTCTCTTCATCCCCTTTCCAGTCCCCTCCCAGTCTTTCCCCCTTTTCTAGCTTTTCCTCCTTGTCCAGCTCTACCCTTCCTGAGGGTGGGGTAAGAAGCCCAGACCCTCCCCTTTCTCTGGGGATTATGCTGCTACAGGTGTGAAATACTGTGTTACTCAAATCACCTAAATCAGCTCATTTGATCTTATTAAAGTCTGTAAACCTGCAATTCCTGGTTTCAGTGAACACGCTCATGAGTGTGGACTTGAAACCAGGACTGTTTGAGTCCCTGCACCCTGTCCCACAGTTTACTTCTGTCGGGGTCGCTGTCACCATTTGGTCTCGTTGATGGTAGCTGATTCAGGTGTCATCTTCAAAATGGTGTCTTTCTTGGTTGATTTCTTTGGAAGACTTTGCTTTGCTCAGCAAGTTCTCCAGTATGTTGAGTGGGGCTGAGTGTCACAGAGTTCGGACTCTTTCCAGCCAAGGGCTTTTGTAGTTGTTATCTCTTTGGTGTAATTCTCTTTGCTGGGTCAACCAAAGGTTTGGAGAAGCGTGGAAGGCTCTTCCTGTGGGTAGACTCACTTCCTGTGTACAGGGTGGTCAGTGTGAAGCTGCCATTTATGGTGGTGCAGAAGCATGTGGTACTTTGTAGAATAATAATGCTAACCTGTCTCCCCTGCTTCCCCACCCCAAAACCTTTGGTTTTGTAGGTTTCTTTGTTATGCTGAGATAAGCATACCATTTCTCTTGCATTAAGATGGGATTTATTCCTAGTTAGTAAGTACTGAGAGGATGAAATATGAGAAGAGGGTTCTCACAGAGTCACATTCTGTAATGAAATTCAAAATTTCCATGGGAAATATAATTAGATGCGGTGCTGAGCAGTTTGTCATCAACTATCTGATTTCAGGCACCCAAAGAAGTATAGAGTTAATTGCGTTAGAGGCCTGGGCCTTGAAGGCCATAGAAGGAAAAGGATTCTAGAGCTTGGAGGGCAAGTAGTCTGACCTTCCTTATTGTACCACTTTGATTTCCCCTTAACATTCTTAACAAATGACTGGCCAGCTTCTGGCCATTTCCAGCAACTGGGAATCTCGATCTAATGTAAAAATTTATAATGTATATAAAAATAAATTATTTAAAAGTATTAATAGTTGCTGCTTGTGAATGATAGGGTCATGGGAATTATTTCTTATTTACTTATACTTTTTTGGGTCCTTAATCAGGCTTTTACAGTGGCATGCAGTACTCTGTCATTAAAATACTGGGGGAATATTCTTTACACACAAGTAGATCTATTTTTAGTCTTTTGAGAAGCCGCCATAATATTTTCCATAGGGGTTGGATCACCAGTAGTGCATGAGGTTTCCTGTTTCTCCAACACTTGCTATTTCTGGTGTTTTTGATGTAGTCCATCCTCACAGTGTTAAGGGGAAGGATGTTCTAAAGGAACTCTGCAGAGTTTTGTGGACTCCACCCCCTACTCCAGCTTTCTGAACTCTACCCCCTATTCCAGTGACTAGAAGCTACAACTCCCAGCAGTACCAGGGAGAGAACTGCGAGGACCCAAGGGCGGAGCTAAGCAGGCATTCTGGGATTTTGGGGGATAAATAGGGCGCCATTTTGTCCAATAGTCTCTCTCGTGGCAAATGGCTCTCTAGACTGCATGACTTGGGGCTTTCAGTTAGTTTGTTACCAGAGCCCCAAGTCAGTCCAGCCGGTAAGATATTCTAGTTGCCTTGTATCTCTCTCTTTCCCTGAGGTGTTTCCTTTTCTTTTCCCCTTTTGTAAATATACCCGGTATTGACTCTTTCTGTGTGTGTCTGCAGTACAACTGAATTTTAAGCGTGCGGGTGAGGTCCCACAGAGGCAGCCCAGTTCACCCTGGGGTGCCCTGTGACAATAGGAGTGAGGTGGTGTCTTACTGAGGTTTCAATTTTTATTTCCCTGATGATTAATGATGGTGAGCATTTTCTTTATGTGCCCATTGGCCGTCTATATGTCTCTTTTTTTGAGAAACATCTAATTCTGCCATTCCCTTGGTTGGGGTGTTTTCCTGTTGTGGTATTGTATGAGTTTTTTGTAGATCTTGGATATCAGCCATTTGTCAGATGTATGAGGTGCAAATGTTTTCTCCCACTCAGTAGGTTGTCTTTTTATTGTAATGATAGTTTCTTTTGCTGAAGAGGGAGAAGCATCAAATCAGGGGAAGGAAGAACACAGGGACTATGGTGATGATGCACAGGTGAATTGGGGGTGGGAGTTTTATGGGGGCTACATCTGAGAGGAGAAAGCAAACACTCTACAAAAATGAAGCATGCTGTAAAATATATATGAGTAAAAAATATACTTTTATTTGAAGTCTTTCCAGCGGAATTTTAAAACTCTTAAATTAATGGCAGTTTTAAAGGTAAGTAAATGTTACTCATAAATATTTTGATTAAATTCCTTTTAAAGGAATTGTAGTAGAAATTAAAATGCCAATCAAAACATTTTATTAGAAAATGAATTTAGATTTACTTCAAACAGAGGAAAATATAGCTATCAGTTATCTGTGTTTTTAATTTAATTTGTTCATAGAATCCGAAAGTTGGCATCCTAAGTAGTTATGTTGCTGGGCTGAGCACTAAATTTTAACAATTTTGTAGCATCTAAAACTAAGCTTACCCTTTGTTTATATTTTTTATTTTCCAGATGGTCTCCCAGCTTGAAGCCCAAATATCTGAGCTTGTTGAACAGTTGGGAAATGAGTCTGGATTTCACCAAAAAGCTCTCCAGAGGGCCCAGAAGGCAGAAAACAAGTTGGCTACCCTTCAGGGTCAGCTGACACACCTGGAAGGAGAGCTGGTTTCCGGAGATGTTTTGCGAGATAACTTGAATTTTGAGAAACAAAAAGTAATAACCTGAGGGTAGTATAAAATTTCACTTGAATATATTTGAATTTTATAGTACATTGATATGTAAGTCCTGAGTCCTGAGTGAGTTTCAAGGAAAGATGGGTATTGGGTATTTGGGGGTGGGTTTCCTTCCTGTTGTTTGGAGTGCCTTTTATTCAATTATTTCAATTAACTCAGCAGGTATTTATCAGACACCTATTGTGTATTAGTTCAGGTGTGATTACCACAGTGTTTGGTCTATAAAAGCTCTTAATTCAATAGCAGAGATGATATTCAAATGATTTGCTGTAAGTGATATAATAAATGTACTGATTAATAAAGTTTCATAGGAAACCTGTGTAAGGAGTGATGGCTTTTAGATAAGGGGGTATTTTATAGGGAGGAAATAATTAGGTTTAATTTTAGAAATACAGTTGGGATTTTAGTAGAGAAAGGGTTAGATACTCTAGGAGATGAAGTTTGAAAGCTGGAGAGAGTATGACTGGCTCACGAAGACAGAGTGCTGAAGGTTAGAACATGGCTTTTTTGGTTGGACGATGGCATGGAGAGGAGTCTAGAATGACTTAGCTTATGAAGACTCAGTGTTCTTTATTATTTAAAATATGTAATAAGAGATTTTGAGTTTCCGAGTATGTTAGAAAGGTAATATGATGACATGCTGGAGCTGAAGTGGCAGTATATGGAGAGATTCAGAAATGACAGTGAACATAGAGCAGAATGAGAAGAAAAGGGGTCCACATGTCCAATTTGCCTTTGGGGAGTCCATCTTCAAGAAACTGTTTTAGTAAAGTGGTGAATAGAAGCCAGTTTTCATTGAGCTGATAGGTGACTAGAAAAATAAGTGTAGAGAGTTAGAAGTAGACTACTGCAAAGTCTGATGACTAAAGAGAAAAGGGATGAAACAAATAGAAAATAGTGCTAAAGAAAGCTGTTAGTGGACAGGAGGGGAAAATATGTATTTGCAGGCAATAGAAGTCTGTAGGGAAAAGCTAAAAAATCAACAAGACAGGGGTGGAGTTGGCATGAAACTATTCTTAGGTGGAAAAATTCATGCTCTGCAAATTCATTCATTCTTATTATTCTGTGTTTAAAAACAATGAGGAAACAGTGTGCCTACATTAGGCTGAATGCCTAAGAAATATCTATGGATGTGAAACAGGCATCCAAGACACAGTTGTACAAAGAGGATGATAATAGAGCTAGGTATAAAATGCAGTAGTAACTTGGACAAAGAAGTCAGTGTTTCTTTCCTATTTCTCTGTGTGAGGAAATGAGTTATCTTCATATAAGATGCTTGATACAACTCTTAAAGATTGAGTAGGAATCGTTGGTTTTGTGAATGAAGATTGGGGGATAGGTTTGAGAAACTTGGGACAATGCAGGAAATTTCTCTATTAAATATCTGAAAAAGATGTCTTGGTTGAAAATTAGAGTCTGAAAGGAAATATGTACCTTGGTATGATGCATTGAGTTGGACAAAATCTGTCTGCTGGACTTCTTTACTTACATGTTTCATGAACACCTTATACTGATCAAAATAGAGATGACTACACTATTCAAATTTGCCCCACTCCTGCTCAGTGACAGCAAGGTAGTCTGCATCCTGTTGTCCAAGTAAAAATCCAGAGTATCTCTTAACACGTGTCTTTTTAAAATAAATACTGAAGCACTGTAAATGTTGTCTTCTAACTATATCTGTTATTCACCCCTGCCCCATTCTGTGTTAGTGGTAGTACTTTGGTTCAGAACAGGGTGAAAATTTTCAAGGCATACCCAAACAATCTTTTAACTGATTTCCTTACTCTCACCAGGGAGGTTTTACCAAAATGAATGTCTAGTGTTATCTTTCTCCATACTCAAACTGGTCAAAACTTCTCTGCGACCTATAAGATTGGGTATAGATTCCTTCTTTCCATGGCTGAAAGCTGCTTTCTGGACCTGACCTATTTCTCTCTCTAGGTCCACTCTCCCCTGCAATCTCTCCAGCCAAGGCGGCAAACTCAGGGATTTCAGGGACCAGCAGGGATCTTGTTGGATGTGGAGAGAATATTCACTAAGTCTAAACATGTCCATCTTCAAATTTGTTAAAAACAGGCATTTCATAATATAAATAGCTATGATTTCTTTATATATATGTTTAATATAATAGTTTATTTTTACATCATTTTGTACATTTTTTTTCCATCTCAGTTGTAATCCCTGTGGGCTTCCCATCACCAAGTCACATAGCTATGATTTCTATAGAGTTCTCCTTTCTTTTCAGGAAGTAACTCTCTTTTTAAGACTCTGCTTCAACGCCACTTCCTCTTCCCTAGAAAACAACTTTGTTCTTTATGTACTTTTGTACCTTCACCTGTCTCTGCCACAGCACTTAACACTCTAAAACCGTATTCATCTCTTAAGTAAATTTATCTTCAACCAACTCCAAGCTTATTGAGGCCAAGGGGAGTCTTTTTCATTTCCCTTGATTTCTCCAGGTCTAGAGTGAGAGTCAGTGAACATTTAAATTGCAGAAAAAACATAGCAAAGGCAAGAATTTTAGGTAAATTGGTGATTGTTCCCTTTCCTTCACTACAGTGACTCATTACTTTTAATTGGGATTAGGCCAAAATAACTCTGCATTATGAAAACAACTTCTAAAATTATCTTTGGTTAATTTTTCAAGGACCTGCTTGTGAAATGCATGTCCTAGTGAGGCTAGTAAGCATTTAGTTGAAAACAACATCATACAGAGTTGTAATTTAAATATAGGTAATTGAGGTTTACATAAAATAGAACAGAATGTCTTCATTCTAAACTGTGGTTCAAGTGAACAAAATATGCAACAATCCTTCCAGCATCCTTAACTTTCTGAGGCATAGCCAAGATCTTGGAAATAGTTGCTTTCTCTGTGGAGTCTTGGCTTGGTCCAGTCTTAATCCCTTTTGCCTGTGGTGGACTCTTGCATGCTACATGGATGAGTCACAGGTAGAAATAGAAAAAGACCTTTGGACTTTAACATGAAAAGTAACAATTCTGTAATATTTAAAATATAAGCAACAGCAGTTATTTCATTTTCATTTACATGGATAAGAAATGGAAGATCCCAAAGAGAAATGATCCAGCATGAAGAAGTGACAAACTGATGATGCAGAGAAAAAGCCACCTATGTCTTTGTAACAGCAGATAGGAAGTGATATTTGTAATGACTGCCACTTAGAAAAAAGTGATTACATTTTATGTATGCTAGCTAATAATATTGGAAAATGCATACTTACAAATAATTTTATCCTGCTGATTAAAATATAGATAGTTCTGGATTTTAAACTGGTATGCTTCAGTCATCAGTTATACTTACTTAAACCTATAATTTCCTGAAAGTGCCAGATGGATGAGCAATTATTGTGATGAAAAGGAAATTTCAAAGATAGAACCCAAAACATGAAATGATAGCATACAATGCTCATTGATTGATTTATTCATCCAGCAATCACTTAGTAAGCATTATTCTCTGTCTGGTCCTAACCAGATAAACCATGAGCATCAGGTGAAGAGAGACCCTAGGTCACTTTTGTGACTTTAACCTATTAAACTACGTACCTTGACTTGGTGTGACTATAGCATTTTAGAATGTTGTTCCTTTACCTCTGCTATGCAAAGAGCTTTTAAAGATATTTTCTAAAGACTTTTAACTGGTTAGAAAACAAAATCATCATCAGATAGGTTTGTGTAGAGAATTTTTGGAGTGTTCTGTAGAACCAAGAAGAATGAAATGACAGATGGTCAAGTTGTCATTTTCCACCCTTGAGGCCAAGGTCCCCTTTGGTGGAAAACTCACTATGTAAGGTACATGAATCCGCCCCAGGAGCTGGGTTAGGGTAGAAGGAGCTTATTGCCCAAGCTGGATGTACTCAGGGACAGGTCAAACTTGTTAACTGGCAGGGTTTGTAATACTAGCTTAGACATTTAGGTCACTGACCAGGAGAGGCAAGAGAATGTGATTATGGAATTGGCAGGGTGGTTCAGGAGCCCATCACCAAACACTGGGATCAGGGACTAGGCTTGGTACTGGGTTTAAGGAGAATAGCCTATGAACTTGGGGTAAGAAAAAGATGATGTTAACATGTTAACTTTATTTTTGTGTCCTATTTTCATTTTTCTTCTTGGTTATAGTATCTTAAATTTCTGGATCAACTCTCAGAGAAAATGAAATTGGACCAGATGGCAGCTGAACTTGGCTTTGACATGCGTTTGGATGTAGTTTTGGCTAGAACAGATCAGCTGGTCCGCCTTGAGAGCAATGCCGTCATCGAAAATAAGACTATTGCCCACAATTTACAGAGAAAGGTAGGGGATATTGAAACTTGCCAGTGCTGATGGAATTTCTAAGAAACTTAAATATTGAAAAATAATTTAGCTTCAGCTTATTTACGAATATGGCTTAGAAATATATTATAAACATTATATTTAATGTTTGAATCACGTCTGAAGTGATGGTAAGAATCTTGTATAAGGTCATGTTTGACTATGAATGACAGAGACCCGGAGTAAACAGTGTCTTAAATGAATAGGAGCGGTTTGTTTTGTTCCTTCTGACATAAATTTCTGGAGGGAAGTATCTTAGGATGCGTGTAACTGTTTTGGTCTTAAAGTTTGCCAGGAACTAAGCCCATTTTGCCCATTTAATTCCCATTTCCAGGGTGCTTCTTATCTTCATAGTTTAAATAGTGTTTAGAAGTATTGTATCTGTGTTCCTGGCCAGATTGGAGAACAGATTGGCCAGATTGAAGAAGAAGCATGCAAAGAGAATACAGCATGTAGTTTTTAAGTGAAGGACTCCCCGCCCTGAATTTGCTACATGAACCTGCTTCTGTTCTACAAGAAGAGTAGATTCTAGTGGCTAAACCTAGCTGCAAAGGAGGCTGTAAAGTATAGTTTATCCTGGGTAGTCATTTGCCTAGTTAAAAAAACCCAGTTTTGACTAGTACAACCACTATGGAAAACTGTTTGAAGGTTCCTCAAACTGCTAAACATGGAGCTTCCCTATGACCCAGCAATCCCACTCCTAGGTATCTACCCAAAAGACACAAAAACACTGATTGAAAAAGATACTTGTCCCCCCATGTTTATTGCTGCTTTATTTACAATTGGAAAAACATGGAAGCCACCCAAATGCCCAAAAATAGATGCCCGGATTAAAAAGGTGTGGTACATATACACAATGGAATATTACTCAGCAATCAAAAAAAGATAAACACATGCCTTTTGCAGTAACATCGGTGGAGCTGGAAGGGATCATGTTTAGTGAAATAAGCCAGAAAGAAAAGGAAAAATGCATGATGGTTTTACTCATAGCAGGAGTATAAAGGACCAGGGTAAAAATTAATAATAATGAACAACTATATACCAGAGATATTTTACAGGGGTGAAGTGGGGAAAGCGGCAAAAAATGGGGGGGAGTGTACTGGATTATAGTGATGGAACATGGGTGAATTGGTGGTAGGAAGCCTATGGGTAAAAATAAACTATCGTATTATTAAAAAAAAAAACCCACAGTTTTAATTTCTATCGGAGAAAAGGAGAACTGGGTAAATCTACCAGTTTCTGCTTTCTTAATTCTGTTGTGCTAGAAAGTAAAGCGAGAACAACTTCCTGTTCACTCACTCAAAGGAAGAGTTGGGAACAGCCTATATCAGATAACTAAGTAAATGAAAAGGATAAAAATTGAATTATTAGTATAATTATTGGCATTGGGGAAAGAGGAAAATAGATGTGCTTTTTTAATGGTTCTTGAGAAAATTCTTGGAAGAATTATAGGGCACAGGCTATGTAATGAGTTATATCTGGGCTCTCACTTTGATTTCACCAAACTGTGTGACATTGGATTCTCTTTAAGTATTATATAATTATTAAAATTACCAGTGTGTAGAACTTAGCAGTGTAAGTTTGCAGTAGAGTGGAATTTGACATGAAGAAGCTCAAGGAAGAACCTCATTGCGCATGACTTTGGGGGTGCCCAATGGACTATGATGGAGTGTTGTTTGTGCTTTGATGTTCGTGTGGTAGGATAATATACACTTGAAGAGGTGTGAACATATACCCTAGAATATACACAGTGTTGTAAACCATCATCACCTCAATAAACACTAGAAAAAGAATCTGGGTGTAGATATTGCTGGCAGCTTATAGACCAGACACTTCAATCCACATTTTAGTAAGTCACTCATACCTTCACTTTACAAATACAGAATATGTAATTAGGGAAAATGTGACAATCTTCAAATCTAACATTCTATAATTTTGTACAATTCCAATTCCCAATGTTTTTAGCAGATGAAAAGGTTTTATGCACTTAATATTTCAATCACTAATTGTGGCATGCAAAACCCAGAAGAATTTTTCCCTATTACAGTCCATAATCTTTTTCTAAAAATCACTATAATTTCCTTCATCAAATTTCATTGTCCATGGTAAGTGCTGTTTGAAGACCTTGTTCCCTACTTGGTTTGAGGATGGAATAGGCTGGCATATAATAAAACATCAGTTAAAACCTTCCTGAAGTCCCTTCTAGTTCTAAAATTTCAAATAAGCAGAAAAAGCTTTCTTAAAAATATCTATGGGGTAGCTAATTTTAAGAATATATCCCTTCTCTTGCTTGATGTCACTCAGCCTGGGGCCAAGGGCTGGAATGAGTCTAGGTCTTCGGCATTGATGTGTATCATCTTTCAAAAATAGACCCATGCAAGTGGAGTGCCCTGTGGAGATAGAGAGGACTTTGTCTCTCCCCCTTGACAATCCCACTTTAGTACCTTTAAATGCAGTTTTATATTTTTATTACAATGTGCTTAATGTCAGAGGGAATCAAATGTTGCAAGCCTATTTGCACCTTTTCTGTGGCTCATTGGTTTCATATTTTGCTGTTCCAAAGTCTTAGGAAAAAATATGATTTACAATGGGATCAGGAAAAGGAATCCAGTGGCTTTTTTTTTTTCAAAGATTTATTTTTTTTATTCATACAGAATTGGGGTAGAGGCCAGAGATGTGGAGGGTGATAGGATTCACCAGAGACAGAGTGGGGAGCAGAACAGGCAGATCGACGAAGTACACCGCTGAGGGGAGCAGCGGGAGGGCCAGGAGAGGTCTGCCACGCCATGTGGTCACTTCTGGGGCAGGCGGGAATCGAACCCATGCGGAAGTGGCCCCAGATTCTCGATGCTGTGCTTTAACCCGCTGCGCCACCAGGGAGGGCCCCAGTGGCTTTTTTTTTTTTTAATGGTTTACAAACTAGTTTTATTGAGTTGTCCAAGAGATTATTGAATTGTCCACAGAGAGTATCTGAGCAAGTCACCTATATCTTCTGATTCAGTTTTTATTTTTAAAATCTTTGTTTTGGGGCCCTACCTGGTGGGGCAGCAGGTTAAAATGCAGCATTGTGAAGCTCTCTACAACCACCGCAGCATGAGTTCGATCCCCAGTCAGGGGGGTGCTCCACATCGTGCGGCAGACCTCTCCTGACCTGCCCACTGCTCCCCTTAGCAGTGTACTTTGTCAGTCTGTCTGTTCTGCTCCCCACTCTGTCTCTGGTGAAGCCTGCACCTCTGGCCTGTACCCTGGTTCTGTATGCCTAAATAAGTAAAATCTTTAACAAAACTCCTTGTTTTGATCAAACCAGCTGAAGACCCAGAAAGAAAGACTGGAGAGCAAAGAGCTACACATGAACCTTCTCCGGCAGAAAATCACCCGGCTGGAGGAGGAGAAGCAGGTGCGGACGGTGCTGGCCGTGGAGAGGGAGGAGGCCCATCTTGCCATCAGGAGGTTGCAGAAGAAGGTGGAGAAGCTGCAGAAGGAGCTGAATGAGAGCCGAGAGCTGAACACTGAACTCAAAGCCAAATTGGCCGACACCAACGAGCTTAAGGCAAGTGCGTGGTGTCACTTCTTTGTTGCGCTTAGCTTGTTCCCATAAATGCTTGCACAAATGAGTGACAGCCTTCTAATGTCACGCTGGGCAAAAAAGAGAAAAAAATGTTCTCTGGTTTTCTAGAGTTCTGAGGAAAATGTAAAAATCACACACATCAGCAGAGCCCATCAATTTAGTGAGTGTTTGATGTTTGAAAGGTTGCTGGTGAAGTCTGTCATTTTGATGTGAAGGGTGGAAAAAATGTGGGTGACTATGATATTGGGGCTCATGTAGGGTCCTCATGTAGGGAATTTGCTCATAGACAAAAAGGGAAATTGACCAGGTTACCAAGTGCTCTCACAGAACAGGACCCGAAGTCATAGTGTACCTCAAGCAGCCGCCTCTCCCGGAAGCTGCCCAGTCAGTCGTTGGAGAAACTGCATTTTAAAGTGTTTTCCCTCTTGCTTCAGTCTGAGGGTTGGTTTGAGCCACTTGGGGTCCTTTTTCTGTGGCAGAAGAAGACTTAAAATCATTGATTTGATGAAGAAAGAGAAAATTGCCCCGCTAGACCCAGTAGGCACCAACGAAGGGACCGAGGGGGATGTTTGTCCTCGTCTGGGAGAGTCCGGAAGGGAAGTCGGGGCCTCCACAGTGATCTTTGCATGTCTCTTAGCGTGCGCTCACTGGACCAGCCACAGATCTACGGGAAAAGCATTTCTCCTGGTGACAGGTGTATATGTGACCCAAAGATTTGACCTTTGGTAAAGTGTTTCTTAAGCCCTTTAAAATTCCTCCATTTGCGTTCACATGGGTTTTAGGATAAAGGAGGCAATTTGTTTGCATCGCCATGGGAGTGTCCAGCTCAAGTGAATGCAGGACCTCTTGGGTTACCCCAAAGTCCTGCCAAGAAAACCCCCTTACTCTTACTGCTCTGCCAGTGACCATGGGCCTAGGAAGACTCTCTCTCTTTTACTCATTGGCACGCTGGTGTTGGGGGAAAGATGAGAATTGCTCCCACAATTAGTAGTAAGCAATCTGGTATCAGTGCATGGAATAGGAATGATAAACAAGTTGAAGTTGGATTTCAAAACAGGGAGGTAAATTCAGCCTTTTAAGGGTCTTAAGAAAACAGGACGCATTTCATTGTAAGGGTGTGTCTGTGTAGTGGTTTCACGTCTTCAAAGAAATCTCTGATAGATTGAAGAGGGTAAGATTGGTAAAAGAGGGTGGATTTTCTGAACACCGTGAGCTCTGCAGAATACCACAGAGTCAGAGGGAAAGAAAGAACAGTGAGTAGTCTGGGTGATTGCTGAAGGTGGTTCAGTGGAGACTGTTAAAGTCAAATACATTAACATTGGCTTCCAGGAGGAAGGCACGCTGGTCACCGCAGAGGAAGTGAGAGCTCTCTGGCTCCCCACCCCTCCCCCTAGGGACTGGTCCCTGCAAACAGGCGCTTTCTCCTGTGACCGGATCATCCCTGTCCTCAGGAGAAATTAAGAAGCAGAATCTAGTGAGTCAGATTGTACTCAGCCTTCCTGTTTATTTAGTGCTTACTCCATTGTAAGATCGCCTTGTTGACTGAGCCCTGTTCTCTGTTGCTGGGGTCCTGCTTTGGTTTTATGCTCCCTCCATACCTCACAGTTGAGACCCTGGTTTCCCTCTACTCTAGGAGTCTTCTTGGCTCTTGTCAAGGAACTGAAATTCCCCCTCTGAATGAAGCTGGCGGGGGCCCTAGGGAGGGCTGTGCCATTCACTTTAAGGTTCCAGTCAGCTCAGCATGTGTCTAGATGATGTCCATTTAAAGTATAATGAAGCAGTTCATAAGTAGGCGATCACGGATGGTGTAAATACTAGTTGCCGCCATTCCTCATCGATCCCTGCTAAATGTGGCTGATGAAGTCTTCAGCGCCCCAGACCAGCGTCTCACATGGCTGTCCCGCAGACACACAGAGTGCGCCAGACGGAAGTCTGGCCAGCAGAGGTGGAAATGGTAGAGCAAGGAATTCCCCTCTCGTTGTTCCCCAGAGTATTATTGGGAGCTGCTGAGAGGACATTAGGAACGTGTGTGTGTGTGTGGTGGTGGTGGTGGTGGGGGGGTTGGGGGGTGGGGGTGTTTGAGGTGATGGGGGTGGGGGTTCTGCAGCCACCACAGGCCTGGGTGGGAGCAGGGCTTCGAGAGCTGAGGGTACCGGGGCGGCCAAGGTAGCCATGTAAACCAGAGGTGTCCGGGGAGAGCTGCCCTCCTGGGAGCAGATGGCGGAAGCACAGAAAGGGCAGTTGCAAGGGAGCCGCTTAAGAGCCTTAGTCTCCAGTGCTTCTACCCCAGCCCCAGCCCGGCTGCTTTCCATCTGGATTATTCTAATTACTTACAAGAGGTCTTTCCACTTAACCTTCTCACAAGCCAGCCTGGTGCTTGTAATTCCCTCTTGCTCTCTGGGTGATGGGATCCTGCCACACGAGTCCGGAATCGTGTCTGTCGGAGAAGGTCCCATGCCAGCTTCAGTTTCCAGCGTCAGCAAAGAGGCAGGTACCTCGGGGGATGCACAGAATGGTTCTGGGGGTGCTTGGGAGATGATATAATGCTCTATCCTCAAGTGAAAAATGGATTTCCTTTCATTTCTCTTTCAATTCTTTCACTGTCAAGGAGAAAAGTCTTAGAGGTTATGATGTCCTTATACCTCTAGAACACTTACTTACTCGCGGTCTGCTTTTTCTAAACAGGATCAGGTCAAAAGCCAGGTGCTGAACACAAGTAATAGTATCCAGTAATACTGGATAGTTTTTATAACAAGGTATTTGTTCTTGTTATTTTCTATATGTAGCAAATTCTGTGGAAGCCATATAAAATTCCTTGCCAAATAAATACATTTGTTTTAGGTTAAAAAAAAAATGGTGGCTAAAATTTTGACATAGGTGGTGTGTGGATTTGGCAAAAATTGTGGGGCCTGAATGGAGATTATTGGAGTATAGACAGTGGCTGGAAGGAGAGTGATAACGAGTCGTAACGAAGGGCAGGAAGAAGCAGCTCTGATTGTTGCCGGCACCTAGTAATTCCTGGGCATCTGGGTAGTGGATGGAGAATCTGGGTCATTGTGTGGGTCACGCTCCAATGCTTGTACTTGAACCCTTGGGTTCTGGGGAATCACTGGAGAATTTTAACCAGGAAAGAGAAGTTGTTAGAAAGAAACTAAAGAGGGACAGAGTGAGCTGAAGAAAGCAGGGAATCTCTGATCTGTAACCAACAGCAAGACTCACTCTTCTGTGCTAGTTTCTTGGGACTGGGGTACGCAGTGACTGCAGACAGGGTGGCCCAGACCACACAGGTTTATTGTCTCACGAGTCTGGAAGCCAGACTTCTACAGTCTGGACTGATCAGGGATGGATCCTTCTGGAGGACCCAAGGGAGAAGCATTCCATGCCTTGCTCTGGCTGCTGCTGGTGCTCCCTGGCACGTGGCTGTGAAATGCCAGCCTCTGCCCCACCCTCCTCCATGACAGGACCTTCCCTTCTGTGTGTCTCTCCACTTCTGTGTATTTTAAGAATATCCATCAGGGACTTAGGGCCTGCCCTACTCTGCTGGAGTTACTGGGCCTCTGACCTCATGCTGGTCACCAGGCAGCAGGAAAAGTGCAAAGGTGCTCTCTAGGCCACTTTCTAGAAACAATGCAATTCTTCTTGTGTCTGTGCGACAAGACTTAGACCTCCCCTTGATGAAATCAGCCAAGAAATGGGTCTTTATTTGGGGCAGTCAGGAGGAAAGGAAGAATCGTATTGGGTGGGGAGCAATCAGGATTCAGCCTACATCACGTGACCCTGGGCACAAAACTCAGTGTTCAGACAGCCCACAGCGAGTAGAAAGTCATCACTATCTTCCTGGTGATCTCTCAGGAAACACAGGAGAGCCTCTCCCATTCTCCTTCCTCACTCCAGAATTTTCTCCACCGCAACCTGGACAACCTTTCTTTGTAGCTTTTTTCTAGCCGACATTTTTGGATTCAGCTCTGATCATGAAGGTCCATTGACCCCGAGTTGCGCTGAGTCCCCTGTGCCCAGAAGACCCCCCAGTCGTGGAGTGGCAGGGAGTGCAGCTGTGCCCAGACTGGAAAAGGGGGTGTCTAGCCTTGACTCCTGCTGTGTCGTAACATTGAGTTCCCTTTGGGAGGAGCACGTCACCCTTGCGGCCTCGGGGGACTGCTGCTCCTGCCCTTCATGGCACCTGCACACACAACCTGGCCCTACGGGATGGAGCTGGCTTTGCAGCTTCTGGAAAATCCCGACTAGAGTAGCCTCTGTACCAGAATTTTCAGACTTTCTTACAAACTTGTACTGATTTGCCAGTCACTCCCATAGCTACATAATTTTGAGAGTAAGAGCTCACACCTTCAAAGTGCACGGGCTTCGCTCACCTGCCACGGAAGTTCCTAGCCACTACCCTCTCCCTCCCCCTCCTCCCCATCCTCTCCTCTCTTCGCCTTCCCCTCTAGTAACCAAGGTGTTTTTCACAGTTGAAGAATTATTTTCAACAGATCAGATTTTAAGTTTAACCATCTTCTCTTTTGACTCTTAAAAATGAGAGAGAATTGTTCATCACACTTTGTAGTTCTTATCCTCAGCACCAGATACGATGTTCATGAGAGGCAGAGCACACTTGGAACCTTCTCAGTCCCTTCTGGGTCTGGGCAGCGGTGGGTGAGTTTTGCATTCGGCTAACTTAGTCCACAGGAAGGGGAATTCGAAGGCTCTTGGTGTTGAACTACAGGCTGGGTTAGAGACCTGGGGGATGAGACTCCCCTGAACTGCCCCATCAGGGAGCTCCTTGTGGGGTTTGACTTGGAGGCCGAGGCTCCGCCCCCTCCCCTGTAGCCCAGTAGGCTCCGCCCCTCCCCTGTAGCCCAGTAGGCCCCGCCCCCTGCACTGTAACCCACTAGGCTCTGCCCCCTCCCCTGTAGCCCAATAGGTTCCGCCCCTTCCCCTGTAGCCCACTAGGCTCTGCCCCCTCCCCTGTAGCCCAATAGGCT